GTAATGTGAAACGTTACCATTCGAAAACATCAGAAAAAGGCATAGGTGTTCATAAGATGTAAAAAGTTATATAATATTTAATACCATAAAACATAAATACTTTTTTAGTTTAAATTTCGTTGTAAAATTTTGTAAAATTTTAATTGTAAATTGGACTTGGCAAAAACCACAAAATTTCAAAAAACTGGATTCCGGTTTTTTAAATTGTAAAACCGGGTAACCAGTTTTTTTCCGGTTTTTTATTATATAAGCGAAATTTTATTACTGATTTATAAATCCAATCTACAAAACTACAGAATTAATATACTGAAATTGAATATGTAAACTAAAGAAATTATGTTTACAATAAAATTTTAAAAAAAGGTAAAAATAAAAGGCTCAAGCTTAAGCTAAAATAAAATATTCATTATTATAAATTAATGATAAAAAAATTTTTCATTAATTTTTATCAATGTACAGTAACATAAATATCATTTTTTATTCATTATTAATTTAGTTTGAATCTAATGAACTTGGATCATCTTTATTAAAAGCCTCATTTTTCCTTTCCAATACTTCTAATATGTGGCAACTCAGTAACCTATTTTTTATTTTTAAATTGTTCATAGCTGAATATGCTATTCTCAACAAATATTTTTTAGATGAAAATTGTGCATGTGATCTGTTTAAAAAAACATAATGTAAAAAAATACTACGATTTATAATATTTAAAGTGATACAAAAGCCATAGCTAAAAAAACAAACTTGTTGACAACAAATTTGTTTTTATTGTTTAATTATTTTAAATTGAGATTGTTATTTAACATAAAATCTTAAATAAAAATAGTTAAACAAAAATAATTAAATTATACTTTAGTTAGTGTTACTTGCCTATTCTGGATTGTTTTGATTATTAAAAGTGTTTTAAAATTTAAATATTGTTTGTAATCTATTATTAACTAGTAGAAAAAATATTGAATTATATAAAACAATATGCAATACCAAGAACTTTTTAAAAATATACATTTTTACGATATTTGTGCTTTCCACGTTTCTTGATAGCTTGTCAATACAAGAAACCTTCTAACTCTTTATCTACTTATTAATGTTATTAATAATTCTCGAACTCGTTATCTATTTATTAATGTTATTAAAACGCGGGTTTTTAAGAAAAACCGTTTTTTTTAAAAAAAACGTGTTTTTTTTAAAAGAAAAACCGTTTTTTTTAAAAAAAACGTGTTTTTTTTAAAAGAAAAACCGTTTTTTTTTAAAAAAACGTGTTTTTTTTTAAAAAAAAACCGGTTAACCGGTTGCAGTTTCCTCCAGTTGCCAAACCCTTATTGTAAAATTTTGCTATATTTTGTTTTTAGGTTGAAAAATGAATACTAACAAATTAGTTCAAAGTGTTCTTTCAACAGTGCTTGTGACGTCAGTAGTATTAAACATGACTGCTTGTTATGTAATTTTAGTTAAAGTGAAGAGAAAAGAGATAACGCATTTATTTGTTGTCAGCATTTCTATGACGAATTTATTAGAAACGATGATTGGATTAACACCTCAAATACTGATTGCCGATCAGTCTTTATTAGAAAAAACTCCGTTATGTATTGCAAGTGGTTTTATTGTTTTGGGTTTTGCTATAACCAATATATCTCATTTGGCAATGCTTTCTTTTATCAGAACTTTTGCTATAAAATACCCAATGCGTTATTTACAACTCCATAAAATGTTCTGGTGCAAAGTAGCATCAATTTTAGTATGTTATGCAAATGGGTTTTTTTGGGCAATTCTTCCTTTACTTGGGTGGTCAAAATATGAACTAGATCTTGATAAGAAACGTTGTTCGTTAGATTGGAGTTTGACAAAAGCAAATTCTTTTTCTTATATTTTGACTATTTTTATTTTTTGCAATATTTTACCCGGAATAATTATTGTTTTAACATTATACTTTAGCAAAAAAACAGTTTTCCGCCGAAAAACATGCAAAGATTGTCAAAATAGAGAAACTGATATTTTAGAAAAAGAATACTTAAGAGTTTGCTTTTTATCAGCAACGGCATACTTTTTATTTTGGACAACATACGCAATAGTTAGCGTTTTAACGTTGTTGAAAGTTTTTGTTCCTGTCGAGTTAACAACAACAACAGCATTGGTTGCAAAGCTCTCTACCATTTCTAATGTTCTCATTAATTGTTACGTTATTAAATCTTTTCGAAAACAGTTGTTAAGCTTAATGCTAATTCGGTTTATAAATAAGTATCTTTGGGTTTTAATAGCTTGTAAAAAATCTTCAGTTAATGATGATATCAATTAAATAATCCTTATGCATGTTTGAGACGAAAGAAAAAACAGTAACGAACTCTGAAACAAACAATAATTTATCTCTCATGCAAAAAAAGCCCTATCTGAACTAATCAAACAATACAAACCAAAACGCCAAACCAAACGACCTTATCTACTCAAACTATACAAACCAATAAAAACAATTAAATTATTCAAAACACTCAAACCAAACAATGGCTATCCGTCAAAAAATATATATTTAAAAATTTATTAAGACTTATTTTATTGGTATTGATATTTTATTTACTATATACAGTTATATATATTATTAATGTATGAACAAAGTAAAATAAAAAATGTTTAAACTAAACTTTGTTGACTAAGTAATTTAAAAATGTCATTAATAAACTTTGACGTATGTTACAAAATCGATATATATTTCACAACGTTTGTATTGCTGTTAATTTTTTTAAGTTCAACTTAATAGATGATTATATTAAATTTTAAAGTTTATAAAATTGTAATCCTGTAACGTTCCTTATACGCCCTAAGCAGAAATGTGCACTTAAGTGTGCGCTTAAGTGTGCGTTACCTATATAATCAAGCAGCGAAATCCAATATTTTTAATTAGTTTGGAAATAATTTCCTTCTGGTAAAAACATGTAGTTTGCAATCTATTGGCGTAATGTTTAAATTAAGAAAAATACGCGTACTGTGCCTAAATATATGAAAAGATTTTTATGATATGATACCTAGCTTAAAAAAAAACTTCAGTACATATATACATACTAATACTTAATATTCATATAAACTTTATATCTCCTATTTTAGAAAACTTAAAATCTCATGAATATATTTTCATAAGCAATTTAAATGCTAAATGCCTAAGCAATGAATACTCTAAACATGATAAATTTATCAAAGATAAAGTCAAAGAAAATTTCAGCATTTTAAGTGTAAATATTATATGAGTAAAAATTTTGGATGAAAAATATTTATGAGTAAAAATTTTGAATTGTTTAAAAATTTCTATTACTCTTTAAATTATCTGTTAAATAAAATTTGTATTTCGGAAACATGGGAGGAAGCGAACATGCCTTTGTTTGAATATTTTTTATTATTTTCTCATTATATCAACCACCTTGTGGAAATCAAAATAATTTTATTAATAGCTAGAAAAACATAACATCACGAATGTGTAAACCTGATAAATTTATATTTTTTGCTAGCAATATAAATATAGATGTTTTACATATGAAAAGTTTTCCATCATTAAATCTTTTTTTTAATTCGTTACTTAAATTTAATTTAATTCCCACTATTTTTAAACCAACAAGAATTACGCAAAAAACTTCTTCTGCCATTGACAATAACAAACAATTCTTATTATTCTGATTTTGAATCTGGTATTTTAATTGGTGATTATTCTGATCCTTTCCTCATTTTTCATATTGCTCGTGGTATTCTATCTAACAGTAATAATAAAAAATGTCTTGTCACTAAAAGAAACACTAGTAAAAATATTTCGATAATTTAAAAAAATAAACTATTTGAGGAGTCCTGGAAATATATATACTCAGCTAAGGATAAAAATCAGGCATTTAATAACTTAACGGCTACTTTTAAATGTATTTTTAATACTGTCCAATAATAACATCTGAAGTAAAAAATAAAGACTTAAAAATCCATGGATGACGAGTAATCTTATAAAATCGTCTAAAAAAAAGCAAAAACTATATATAAAATTTTTGAAATCAAAGAATAAAGGTGATGAAAAAACGTATAAAGCTTATAAACAGTTTTTTCCAAAAAATATTAGACAAGCTAAAATAATGTATTATTCTAATCTGCCAAATAAAAATAAGTTAAACATGAAAAAACATGGTCGATTATAAACGAAGTAACTGGTAAAGAAAAAAAAAAAGATATTTAGGATACCTCAATTAATGTTTTGTGATATTAAATACATAACAAATGAATCAGATATTTACCATGAACTTAACAAACACTTTGTAAATCTTGGTCCCAGTCTAGTTTCAAAAATAGTGATGGCAAATGAAAAGTTTGATGAGTTTGTTGGAGAAAATACCCTATCATGTTTATCAAATGAAAAAATATCTTATAAAGACTTTAATAAAACTCTGACTGAACTAAAGCGAAATAAGTCATGTGGATATGACGACATTACTACCAATGTAGCAATATACGTTATTAAATGTATTAGAAAACCCTTATTTCATCTAACATCATTTTCTTTTGAACACAGTACTTTTCCTGATATGTTAAAAGTTGTTAAATCCAATCCTGTTTATAAAAATGCAGATTGTAATATGTCTGACTACCGCCCAATATCCCACTTACCAATGTTCTCTAAAGTTTATAAAAAGTAATATACTATCGAATTTATATTTACTTGAAATTAAACAAACTTTTATATGAAATTCAATTTGGTTTTCAAAAAAGTTGTTCAACAGAGCATCCTATCATTAAACTTACTAATAAAATATTTCAATTTTTTGATAAAGGAGTTCATGTAGGGAGTTTTTATAGACCTACTGGGAGTATTTATAGACCTTTTAAAGGCATTTGATACAGTTGACCACAAAATCTTACTATCAAAATTAAAACATTATGGTATCAAAGAGCTAATGTATAAATGGGTAAAAATCTGATTAACAGAAAGCGGTTTGTAATAAACAAAGAGTCAAGTGTTCTTGATATTGAGTGTGGAGTTCCTCAAGGCTCAATCTTAGGACCGTTATTGTTTTTAATTTACATCAATGATATGCATAAAGCATCATCTATAGTATTTTCAATAGTGTATGCTGATGACACAACTTTGTTTTATAATCATAATAATTTAAAACCGATGTTCGGAACAACGAATACTGAACTGGAAAACTTTAATTTATGGTTTAGAGCAAATAAATTACCCTTTAACTGTGAAAAAACTAACTACATCTTTTTTCATAAGATAGGCCAGTCAATGTCTCTACCGTTAAAAATTCGAGAGTTGCTCATTAACAATATAACATTAAAACGGGAAAAATATGCAAAGTTTCTTGGCGTTCAAATTGATGAAAATTTATCATGGAGAAATTATATTGGACACATTAAATCAAAAATATCATCTGCAATAGGTATTTTATATAAATGTCGCCTGTTTCTTAATTTGTGATCAAGAAAAAAAATTAAATTCATAGTCATCTCACATATGCTTATTAGTGGCGGATCCAGGTCATTGTCCTAGGGGTGGTAATTTGACCAAGAAAAAAAAATCCGCTTTTTTTTTCTTTAGATAAACCTCTGTTTTATTTGATTATTTAGAATATTTTTAGAAATGTTTGCTTATAAATATATTGAATGTATCTGTATGTAAATATCTAGAAATAATCAAACGTTGAAAATAAATATTTAGCCTATAATAAGGGACAGATTTTATTTCCACGATACAATTAAAAATTGATGGTGCACAGGCTGCAGTCTTGTCTGCCTATAGGTAAATCTGGCCCTGTCTGTAATGAGCAAAAGATAAAATAATATCTTTAGTATTTTCTTTTTTTTAATAAAGACTTTTATAAATTTAACCAACTACAACATAAAATTGAGCTTTTTAGTTTTTAAAGAAGCAAAACTATCAATAATCTTTTCGACATTTATGATGCAATCTCTATGAATATGCATCATAACTAAGCCATGTTATCGTCCTTGTCCTAAATTGGATCTTAACCAAGTTTCAAGTCTTTTTAAAACCGAGAAACTCCGCTATCCAGAAGCAACACAAACACAAAAATTTTGAAGAAAATTTCATTGATTAGACATTCTCATCAACAGTATTTATGTTGGGCAGCCTTTTCATAAAAGGTTTGCGCGATTAGTTTGTTTTCCTGTAATTCGTAGAATACCAAGTCCATGTTCTGGAGAAAAAGGACTGAGTTTCATTGTAGTTTGATTATCTTCAGCCCCGCCAATAAATGCACAATTAAATCGTTCGGTTGATGACCCCGAAGATAAAGGAAAACGATAGGACCAGCATGTTTGTCCTGTATTGGTAGAATTTTAATCCTTTTGACAAAATAGTCATCTAAAGAGCTTGTCCTCTTTACCCTGTTGGTCATTGTAGCTAATAAAAATAATTTCATTAAAAGTAGTAAAAATCATTTGTCATTTATTTATTTAAAATAGTAATAAACTTTTATTTTCTAAATAAGAGACTAGTTCTTAAGAAATTTATTCTGTTACTATTTTAAAAAAAAAACTCTTCGTTCAGGTACTATTTAAAAAAACTCTTCGTTCAGTTATTATTTTAAAAAAAACTCTTCGTTCAGTTATTATTTTAAAAAAAACTCTTCGTTCAGTTACTATTTAAAAAAAAACTCTTCGTTCAGTTACTATTTTAAAAAAAAACTCTTCGTTCAGTTACTATTTAAAAAAAACTCTTCGTTCAGTTACTATTTAAAAAAAAAACTCTTCGTTCAGTTACTATTTAAAAAAAAACTCTTCGTTTAATTACTATTTAAAAAAAACTCTTCGATCAGTTACTATTTAAAGAAAAAACTCTTCGTTCAGTTACTATTTAAAAAAAAACTCTTCGTTCAGTTACTATTTTTAAAAAAAACTCTTCGTTCAGTTACTATTTAAAAAAAAAACTCTTCGTGTAATTACTATTTAAAAAAAACTCTTCGATCAGTTACTATTTAAAAAAAAACTCTTCGTAACTTAAATACAACTTGAAGTGTATCTAAGTTTAATATAAATTGAAGTGTTGCAACTTCAATTGTTGAAAAAAAAAAACTTTTTATTGAAATTTTAACTACCAAAAACGACATCGCGTATATAAATTATACCATAGTCATAAGAATACATAGTCTGGAAACACGGACCATTTCCATTGTTTTCCAATTTTAACTTGAAAACTACACGACGACCCGGCGAACCTGCACAAGTTTATAATAATGGCAAGTTTTAGCAGCGATTTTGAGACAAATAGTGATTTGGAATGTTTGTTTGACGTGTTTGAAGGAGGATTTTTGAATGATGACATTAACTTAGTAACAGATATAGATTCCGTTGTTTCTGATATCGATATTTATAGAGATAATGTCAAACAACATGCATGCACTCAGTGTCCTAAACTATACAAAACAATTAGAGGTTTAAAAAGACACATTGCATCGAAGCATATTTTAGAATGTTTTGAAAAATGTTCTGTAAAAATGTCTGATACGGAGAATTCTT